CAACCCTTGGAGAGGGTCTTATGTACCAATTGCCTTGGCAAAGATCATGTAATTCTCAAGGAAAAGCTAGCTTAATTAATGAGTTATTGACAGCTGAGGCCATTCTCATGGCATCTGCACTGTGAGCTGATCCCTTTGTCTGTCATATTTGGCTGGAAAATTAACATTTATTTTACCTCTTTGCCTTGTTTTAGGCTGTTCCTTTCTTCTTTGGAGCTATAGCTTTAGAGTACATATTAGCTTTTCTGACCAGACTTCCACCAGCAAGGTTGAATGATGCATTCAGTTCCATTGCTGCAGGAACTTTGTCGCAGTTGTCCAAGTAAGGAGAAGATTTTTTAATGAATTTTTATTATGTGATATCACGTGAGATCTTTTTCTAGATAATGCTATCTTTTGCATCTTTGCTACTTTGTTTTGTGTTGTTTGAATTTTTTTTTTCATGAATTTCAATTTCTATAGGCTAAACCATCTGACCCACTGTGATGGCCAAAAATACTTGTAAATGTCCAAACAGTTGAAGTGAAGTCAACAATTGAAGCAGTTGCCAAAATAAAATTGCAAATAACAAATTACTCCAATCATATGTAAAGAAACTGAAAAACAAGAAAAAAATAATGAAAAACAAAAGACACTTACAAATGTTGTACAGGATCTACTACAAATGGCTGATAACATAAAACAATTGATTGAGAAATATCCATGCAGTTAAACAATAAAGCTGAATGAGGAAAAATTATGGTATGGAACTTTTATGAATGATGCCCAAAAAAGGGAAATTATGCAAAAAAAAAAGTAACAATATTATTGAAAACAAAAGAACTAAACAAAAATGCAACAGAGAGAAAAAATATGTGCTTATAATGAATAGCATCGACATAATATTTGGCTTTAACATACACATTTCCTATGGTTAACACTTTAACTCCCTTGTGTGACCAAGACAGAATTTTTCCTTACAGTATAAATTCAACATCAAGCAGACAAGTGATGAGAATAAAGAAAAATATCAATTAGGGGATTATTAGTTGATCCAATACCAAATTCTCAAAACTAACATTACAAGAACTATATGACAGACAGTTAGGAGAATTACTAATGAGATCGTGGGAGTTAGAGGGTTAAAATGACACTTATACCTTTCCTCTCATGGTGTACTACAAGTTATTTGAATAATATTTAAAGGTAGGGTTATAAGTGTGGACCCTAATCTATTCTTGACAGCTGGTTTTTTCCTCTTTCAACAGGATAATAATACTGAGTGCTGAGCTTGCCCTTTATGTATTTATTTATGACAATTTTAATCTGATTACATTACCATGGGATTATCCTGGAACATGGTACTTTTGTTTTATTGGAGTGGATTTTATCTACTATTGGTTCCACAGAGCTGCTCATGGTAAGAAAATTATTATTTACAAAGTTTGTTTTTCTTATTTAAAGTCCCTCTGTAATATTATTGGTAATAGACATGTACTATGGGAATAGTAGAATAGTGTTGGCCACAAGTGGTCTGTGAAAGGGTAAGGTCTAAAATTCAGGGCTGAGGGTT